CATGAGATCAGGGCCCTTGCTGCGTCATGGGCCCTCCTCAATGGGTCCCCCTTTCAGGAGGTCATGTCCGCAGCTTTCTGGCGCGGACAGACTACCTTCACGGATTTTTATCTCCGGTCCTTGGCCTCTCATTCTGATGGATTGTATTCCCTTGGACCGGTGGTGGTTGCACAGTCTGTGGCTGTTCCTCCACAGTAATTCAGTGATTTTAAATAGTATGCTATCAGGCACCACGGTGGTACACCTGCTCGTTTCACGGGGAGGTTTTCCATTTTTTAATTACTTTCGGGGCTTTATTAGGGGGGTTCCTTGAACCTTTTCCCTACCTTGAGCATGTCTCGAGTTTGTTCCGTCAGCCTGGTCTGCCTGGATTCGAAGCCTCCACTACGGTAAGACGAATTCGCATACTAAAGTTATGGTAATTATTACTGAAATGAAATTGAGGTTTTTGAAGTAAAACCAATTTTCATGATGTAATACTTACCATAACTTTATGGAGTCCCACCCTGTATTCCTCCCCTTGCCTCCTCATCCTGGCTGCCTTTAGGCTCCATAAAAGGGGGTTTGAGGAAGGGAGATCACTCCGTGGCTCTGTCATCGAGATAGAGGTTACGTCACGGTAGGGAGGTAGGGATATTTGAATCTTTTGTTTTTGGGCTACAAAGATGGGTGTAGGTATTGTATATGCATACTAAAGTTATGGTAAGTATTACATCATGAAAATTGGTTTTACTTCAAAAACCTCAATATTTTGTGAAAGGCGAAATCAAAACTGCATGAAAACAGTTTCCACCAGTGAAAGTCGAAAATTTTACTGGTTTTCCAGTATACAGCACACTTTGGGTGCATGGCATACTACCCATTAAGATTAGATTTTATTATTTAATTTAGTTTTGCCACATGCTATGTTTCAATTACACTTTGAACAGCTTGGCATCGAAATGCATTAAATACAAGTGATGAGTGTTATTGATATTCTGACAGGGCAGAGAAAGAGTGGGGAGATGGTATCCGAGGTCTGGCCATGTCTGCCGCCAGATACTCCTTACTGAGGTTACAACAGGGTCCACCCCACACCAAAAACTGGAGGTAGGTAGACTAGGGGCTCCTTCAGCCTGGATACAGCGGGGAAACTGTAACATGCTAAAGATGCATACAATGAATTTGAAACAATGAAATTAATAAAAAGATATGGGTACATCATGTCATGGCACCCTTCCTGTTCCGCGGACATTACGAGTGGGGTCTTATTTCTGGTCTCATTTTTGGAAGACATAGACAAAACCAAAATTTTCCCCATTTCAACCCTTGTGATCTGTATCTATTCTTCCTTTTTTCCTTTCTTTTGTTGGTGTCTCCCTAGGCACCCATTGTCATATTTAACTTGAAGTAGAGGGGGATGAGGGTAAATTAATGTTAGTGAACTCTGTATGGTCAGTGGTGCTGGTATCATTTCCTTGTATGTTTCTATCCAGACCCCAGATCTTGGTTCTGATGAAAATGGATGAAAACCTACAACCAAAGTATCCAAACATGATCAACTTTGCTAGTCAGCTCAAAGCAGGTAAGTCTGAATTTTGTCAGTCACCTCAAAGCAAGTAAGTCTGAACTTTGTCAGTCACCTCAAAGCAGGTAAGTCTGAACTTTGTCAGTCACCTCAATGCAGGTTACTAGTCAACTCTGCTATTGAACTTGAAGCTCGAGTCGCCCAGTCACCTATGATATTATAATGTACGCCTTAACACTGACATTGGTTGGAACTACCCTGGGTATGCCTTCATTGCTGTGCTTGATATCTGTTGGGAGGCCGTACAACTCGACACAAATGCTGTATTAATGGGGCAATACTTAGAGCAGGAATAAAGATCTATACAGTTGTAGCATAACAAAATGATTTACCCATAGAGAAACATTCTGACATCAAATCTAAAACAAATGATGGAAGGGTATTTTACAGATTGATAGGAGACAATAAGATTGGGGTTGCATTATATCATTATACTTTTCACTTAATATGATGTCGTTTAATATCACATTTCAGTTAATATCATGTTTTCTTAATGCACCATTTTTCCTGCTATATAATCCATGTAATTCGATTCTGTTATAATCACTTGTTTTGATGTGGATGTCGTTTAATATCAATTTATATTGGCCATTTTGACCAAAATAAATCACTGGTAAATGATGGTAAGAATCCATTTTCCATGGAAAAGAAAGTATTTGGGTGGGTGCAACCTATTTGATTATGGAGTAATAGAGTGTCCAGTTAGATGGTCAGGAGTAATAGTGTCCAGTTAGATGGTCAGGAGTAATAGAGTGTCCAGTTAGATGGTCAGGAGTAATATAGAGTGTCCAGTAAGATGGTCATTAAAACTTATGTTGTATTACAGGTAAAGGTTTGACCTTGATCAACAGTGTCGTAGAAGGTGACTTCAAGGAGAGGTACGCTGACGCTCAGGCAGCAAAACAGGTGAGTTGTCTCGTGGTAGACTAACTCAAACGTCATCAAATACATTGTAGTAGTACAGAGTAATTGCTTTTTGGGAAGTTGCTTCGATTGTCTAGAATGCTGGAAAAACAAAACACATATTCATCATATTGGTACAGTTACTGTAGAGCATAAACCTCTGGCCAAAAACAAAGTGTGAAACAAAAGAACTGCAAATTTATTTCAACTGAAAAAACAGCTGAATTGAGGAATAATTGAATCAGTGATTGAGAAGATTCTATTTTAGTTATGATAACAATATTATTAATGAAATCAATATCAACAAAAGATTGTAATTCTGAAGATTTTCCTGGCAAATGAACACAAAACAAACTCTCACAAAAATGACAATAGTTACAGTAGATACCAAGGTTAACATATCCTGTTCAGACAATATGTGTTTGATTGTTCCAGACTCTGAATAAGCTTGTGGAATCGACAGGAGTGAAAGGCTTCGCTGATCTGGTTATATCGGCTGATATAACAGCGGGACTCTGCCACATGTAAGAACTATATTTATTGTATAATCTTCATGTAATTTTCAGAAAGAACTATGATTTCTATCTTTTTTTTTAATGATAAACTGAAAAAAAGGCACAGGCACCTTAGGGATCCCCTACCAATGCCAAAAACGGTAACTACATATGTAAGTGTTGGAGACTGCTTTTTCCGTCTTGACTTTAGCTTTGATAAATTATTTCTGAAAAGAAAATAATACCTTATGGTATTTTTTGGAGAAAATAACAGGATGAAATAACCAAAATATAATCAAAAATAGTGTTTTGAGTGTAGAAACCTCAGTGGGACTAGACCAGGATTGAAACCCTGGACCTCGGATTGTTGTACTCTAACCGATAGAGCTACCTGATTATTGGAAGGGTCTGCCTAGTTGGTTGGTTGGTTGAGTGGTTTTACGTCTGCCTTTCACTTTAATATGAAAGTCTTTGTTTCGGCCGACATGAGGGAGTGAGTTGTTGTTTACCAGGTCCTCTGAAGATTTGAAATGTCCTAGGCCCATCCAGGTCACGCTCCAAGGTCAGTCTGCTTCTGAGATGCAGATAGGCTGTCACAGCTGCTTTGGTCCACAGATCCATGGCCACAGTTATATCCAAATGGAAGTTAAGGGGAGGTTACTGCATATAGGAAAAACCACAATTCAGTGGACAGGGATCCTTAAGAGATAGAATTTTTCCTTAATTGGCAAGGAAAGATACTACTTTCCAGATTGTTTAGAGTAAAGTGATATATGTTAGAAAGTATATTCCATTGTGACAAATTTGAAGATTCATGTAACAGCAAAAATCATGAAATTGACAATGTGTTTGGTATTGTGTTATATAAACCTGTATGTATAGTAGCCAAATAATAAGCAACAATTTTGAGAATCAGCGTCTTGTCTCTTGACCAGGATCCAGAATGCTGGTCTAGGTGGACTGCGACACAACACCGTCATGATTGGCTGGCCCTACGGATGGAGGCACGACCACAATGCCAAAAGTTACAGAGTCTTCCTAGGTAACGTTTATACAGTGTCAGCTTTAATTATTCATAAGTAATATTTATCAAATATTTTGATCTGAAATCATTTAAACATTAATGATGGAGATATTTTGGGAATATTTGAAGTTGCATTAGAGATGCAGGTTCCCTATAGCTATAGTAATCACCATGTCCATCTGTCTGTTTTGTCATTGCTCTGCCCATTCATCCATCTGTCAGTATGTCTGTCCACACGTTTGTGTCTGGAGCTTATCTCAGAAACACTGTGATATGTAGATGAGCAATAGGGGTTTAAAAACTTTTCAAGGTCATTGTTACAAAAAAATGGACTATTGGGAGTTACAGTCCTGATCGTGGAATCCAAAAGTCTTAATATTTTTGAAATTTGACATGGTGATACACTGTGATATCAGTGGCGGATCCGGGGGAGGGGGGGGGGGGGGGTTCACCCGGTGCATGTGACACCCCCTGTCCATGACCAGATTTTTGTTTAAGTAGTGCAATATAAGACCGCGTCGATCGTGTGACACCCCTTAGTACTGTTCGGTGTACATGTGTGCACTGAAGCTACACATCACCATTTTACCGTTACACATGAATTTGACAGTTACTCATTGAGAGGTACATCATAGACTCGCCCTCATAAGACTAGCTTTTTATTGTTTCCTAGAATCGACACCCTGATCAGCGAACTACGCCCTGCGGGTAGATTTACCTGTGGGGATGTGGACCAATAGGTGTGAAACGTAAACAACAGACCACAATTACCAGCGTGTAATTCGTCTAATTATAATTAGTGATGTCTGTTTATTATCTAGGCTTCAATGTTTGATTTTCATAGGTGACTGAAAATTGAACCAAAATAAGAAATACAAACGCAGAAGTACAGACAATAGCTTTGTATTCAGAGAAAAATGTCAAACGCCTGCTGACCCGCCTTTGCTGCACTGTTTTTGGCCATCAAATTTTAATGCTTGAAATATCAACAAATGGGTGTCTACATAACTGCTGGACAAGACACTGACATTAAAGTTAATCGTGTGACATGTAGGGGTGTACATGCGCTGCTAAAGTATTAAAATCTGGAATGGTGACACCCCCCAAAAACATGTCTGGCTCCGCCCCTGGATATGTAGATAGGCAATAGGGGTTTGAATAGTTTTCAAGGTCAAGGTTATTGTAGACTTACTGATCATGATCTGCCAGTGTTCCAGGTATCAGTGTAAATTAACACATTCACCCTTGAAGACACATTTGAACTCTTCCAATTCAAAGATTGGAATAGTTCATTATGAAATTTCAGGGGTGAATGTTTGAAATTTCCTTTTTTAACTCGCATGTCAATATTCAATATTTAAAGTAACAATTACCAAAGATGTTTGGTACAAATGTAGGTAAGTGGTAAATATTAAGATTGTGGTAATATTATCAGATTTTGATGATATTTTCAGGAACAATTGTTGGAGATTTGGTTCCATTTTAATAAATAGAGATTTTAGTAAGAAATGTTTAAGTAATGTTGATCAAAGATTTTGTGTAGGTAGCATTTTGTCCCCTTTTTCGTAACATCTTTTTCCTTGTTTAACACATCTTAAGAATCACATAATTGAAGACATCAAAATGTCAAACAGAATTACATATTGAATCCAAAGTAAAAAATATATTGAAAGATCAAAGAACAAAAATGTTACATTTCGGTAAACTGATTCCAGTCCCTTCTTGATCTTTCAGAAGCCGTTAAGAATATAAACGCTGGACAGATGGCGCTGTTAGCTGTAAAAGGCATCAACAATTTCCCGCCGAGCTCGGAGAAACTGAAGGGCACCATTGATGTATGGTGGATAGTTCATATCCTTTAGTAGTACAAGACCATTTTAAATATTTGTTCTTATAGTATAAACTTTATTGATTTTACAACAACTATGAAACAAGTTATTTCAACTCAAACAAATCACTCTTATTGGCCGGGATATTAGCACGTTGGGGTCTTATTGTGGGATAAAACCATGTGGTCTAGCAGGTGACCCCATACCTTTCCACGTCCGATCAGGGAATGGAACCCCAGCTGACTTGGTGAAAGGCAAGTGCACCACCCAACCACACATTTTTAGCTCACTTGGCCCGAAGGGCCAAGTGAGCTTTTGGCATACCGCAGCGTCCATAGTCCGTCGCCCATCATCCGCCAACTTTTACATTTTCATCTTCTTCAAAAATACTGGGCCAATTTTGACCAAACTTGACATAAAAGATCACGAGGACATGGGGACCTGAATTTATGAAATGTATGGGGCTACGCCCCCAGGGGCCTGAGGGGTGGGGCCAAATAGGTAAAATATGGGGTAATCTTTAAAAATCTTCTGCTCTACTCCTTCAAGTAGCAGAGAGTAATGGCACATTTAATTATAATCATCAACTAGCTCTCTTTTAAATTTATGAAATGTATGGCCCTAGGGTCAAGAGGTCAAGTGGTAGGGTGGGGACAATATTGTATGTTATGGATCGTTGTATCTTTGAAACAGTTGAGATCCCCACCCCAAAACTATATATACAATTGTTTGGCATAAAGAGACGAATGCAGTCATGATATTAGAATTGACCCCAGGGTCTACCCCACCCTTGCAGACTTGACCCCTGGGTCATAACTTGGAAACGATTAAGATCCCCACCCCAAAACTATATATACAAATGCTGGGCATAAAGAGATGAATGTAGTCATGATATTACTATTGATCCTGAGGTCTGGCCACAACCCTAGGGACCTAGTTTCTAGGTCACAGCTTGGAAACAGTTGAGATTCCCATGCAATAACCATACATTAAATTGCTGGACATGAAAAATATAATATAGATATGCTACAAGGATTGGCCTTGGGGTCTGACCTATTCCCTTGGATCTCATTTGGAGAATATTTTGCCATGATTGCTTAGATAACCAGGTGAGCGAAACAGGCCCTCTGGGCCTCTTGTTTGTTGTTTCTTTCCACCATATGGGTGTAGAATGAAGAAAGAATCATTGACATGGGATGATATGAATTAACGAGGGTTTCTCATTCTGTATTCAGAGTGCTGATTGGTCCTTATTTCAAAAAATGAAGTACAAGGATGTTTTTTTCTTGAGGAATTTAATAATGTTATTATGAATGAATGCTACAATTAAGCTTTGTTTACGTTGATAATGTGTATTTTTCTCTGTCTGTCTATCAACAAATATGTTTAAAAGTTTCCTTAACGAGACTACATGATGGAGGTATGCTGATGTTACTGCCGTTCCTGTTAAAACAACACAAAGTCTGGAAGAATTGTCGTCTGCGGATCTTTACCGTGGCTCGTATCCTTCACCTATAGTACATGTAGTATGTACTCTAATTGGGAATACATTATGTGTTTCTTACTTTATATGAATTTAGTTTGTCAATTTTTTATATTTTTTTTCACGCCTAGTGCTATATACAGAAGTATGGGGGGGGGGGGGGGGGGGGGGACATAATTAAAACTCATTATTGATAAATTTAGGGTAAAATATTAACAAAATAAACATTTAGATGCAGAACCTTGAAAAAATACTAAGAGAATAAGATATCAGGGCTCACATTCATGGAACTGTTCTCATGCTCGTATATATGAAATATATAACAAGAACAAGAAATTAGGCTTTAGCACAAAATCAAAATGTTGAAATATTAAGTTGAGGCTAGGATGGTCTGTTGTGAAAATCAAGCCAGGAGAAAGAAGTTCTTTAACTTTTCACAGAACTGGAGGACAACACTATACAAATGAAGAAAGACCTGGAGATATTTATGTACCACCTCAGAATAGAGGCTGAGGTCGAGGTCGTGGAAATGGTGGGTAACCGTCCAATCAGATGATTTGTATCATAAACGTAAATGTTCACCAGTACAATGCTCACTGGTATAGATCAAAAGCCTTCTCCAGTCAATCGACCAATTATATGTCATGTTTTAATTCTATCAAATTATATGGCATGGAATTGATATATGCATCTGCAAATTTTGTGTTTTCTTAAATAACCAATTTACTCGATTATTGATCATTTAAACTGCAACTTTGACTAATCTGTTGGATTTTCTATGATCAATCATGTTTTGATATGGTTTGGTTTTATTATGTTTAATGTTTTATTAACTACTGGGGTTATTTATATACGTGACTCCAAATGAGTAATGTATGCATGTCACTATGACATGAAAACTGTCATGAGTTCAGAGGTGGAACAAATCGGAAACGTTTTAGAATGAATAGAATTGGTTTACTAATAAGTTTTATAATACACTGCATTCAAAAAACATTTTGCGTAAAGCTAGGTATTTGAAAAGTATCCATCACATTTTACCCATTTCGATAGATCTCCCCTACTTCCCCCCTCTTTTCTTTATCACATCAAAAGATCAATCATTGATGATTGATCATGAATTTTGGAGCGATTCCTGATGGTACCTAAAAATGATATACATTCACAAATCTTTTCTTCAAATTTTTGTTGGAAAACTTTCCAACCAAGCTAATATGTTAAATAGTAATGGTGGTGTATCTTATGTGTTTTTTGGAACTTTTGATATTTTCGGCCTGTTACATGTTCTGGTTTTGCGAAAAACTCTAAGTGGATTTCATTTTCAGGCAAACTATGATATATCAGCGTACACATATGAACGGACTTTAATGATGGAACAGAGAACGGAGATATTAAAAGCGATGAGGGGAGGAGGGTCCAAGCTTAGCGTAAGTATCATATGACAAGTTGTGAGGAAATGAGAGGAAAAGCTCAGAGGAAATAGTTCGGTACAGTAACTGAGGACGGAGATATAAAAGTGAGAGAAAGGAGTAAAAAGTAATCACAATCTGAATTTCTTGTCATATCTGATATTTTAAGATCATTTAACCAAAAAAAAAGGTTAAATAAATCCATGAACTGTCTGTCACCTTTCTGACATGAGTTTTCCCATATGTAGCCCCAAGATATCCTGGACAATGTACACAGGAGCCCTGCTCAGGTAAAGATACAGCTGGAGACAGTAACGGAGGAGGGGCTCCCCACGGGGCTCAACACGGAATCCTCGACAGATGAGGAGAAGCTGGAGAAACACCAGTACACATTCACACCCTCCAGCCTCAAAAGTGATAAGAAAGCCACATCACCCCCAAGTCCAGTCAACGACCTCCTCAGCATGAAACCGTGAGTACACACTAACTTATCTATGTATATTTCATAGTGATTCCTTATGCATAGAGTGCTATTGTAACTGTTATGCTAAAAAATGAAATCTTCGGAAAGCAATTTTACAAGAAAAATTTTGGCATTAAGGTGAAAAGTACAACGTTATGGAGAGCATGTGTACTTTTGGTAAATACTGAAAATCTGACGGCTATATATGGATTGTGGCAATGAATAGCAGTGGCTGATCTACATATCCTCAGAAGATATGTAGATCAGCTACTGCTATTCATTGCCACAATGTACATGAACAAAAATCCATTCAATTCATATATTTACATAACGATGAACTACAATAAAAAAGTTGCAATTCTTTTTGTAAATTTAGTATTTTAATATAAGTATCGGACAGGAAACCATAAAAAGGAACAGCCACAATTACAGCCTACACACAAACTTCAATTGTCCGACTTCCGCTGATCAGCTGGTTTTGTTGAAACAAAAATATATATCTAGAATCTAATAATAACCAACACTTGATATTCCTTTCATTTTTGAAAGTTGTCCTATTTGACGGGTTTTTTCCATTAAACACTGCATATTGTATAATTTCAAATCATCGGTCACCATTATAACCATTCAGGGCACTCAGCCGCATTAGGCATAGAGCTCACGTGAAGTTAAATGTACAGCCGTTGAAAATGCTGTTTGCCAAAAAACCTGCAGATGTAAATGATGATAAGTTGACGGATAAAGTGCCCTGTGTCATTACAAAGTTCTCTGGGTTTAATTTGGAAGTTGATGTCATGGGGATTATCCAGCCGAACATTCTGGTGTTAAAAAGTTTGTGACTACGAGGAACCGATTGCGAGTCGGAAGTCAGTACTTGATATGACAATGTTACAAATATTTCTTTTAATTTCAAATTAAAATAACAATAATAATGGTACACTGGTGCAACATTCATGTTTTTTGTAATGTTTATTACTATTTCTCGCAACTACCTTATCTCGGAGAAGGGTGATTACTCTTCTCAGAAACGGTTCTATGCGTAGTAATATGAAGTTGTCATTGCTTGTGAAATCAGCTGACTGGTTGCACGAGAAACGTTGTATTCATAGTGTATTCATGGCCTAATGACAGTTGTTTTCAGTTGGTAGATTCATGTACAGAACAAACATCAAGAATGTAAATATGTTAACAACATACAAAATCATTGCTGTGTTGTTCCTGTCTGCATGTCTGATGACCAAGCACTGGTCAGTAGATAAACCTTTCACAACTGAAGTGAAAATTCAGCCATTTCCATCCATTGCTAATCTGTAACCCTTTCAACCCTATATTACTTTAGTAGACTCCACCATGCATTGATCTGGACGAGTCCATTATTGTCTACAGTGGTGAAAGAGTTAACTGCAACAAATTTTGTTTGTTACTGATTTACATTATACAGGAAGTATACATGCCCCCCCCTAATGTCCTGATTTACATTATACAGGAAGTACACATGCCCCCCTAATGTCCTGATTTACATTATACAGGAAGTATACATGCCCCCCTAATGTCCTGCTTGACTGCCAATTAAATCATGTGACTTTTTTTCTTGAAACTTGGTATTTGGGAAGCAACACATTGTGTGTATCTTGTGTCATGTTAGAACCAACATTGGAATAAAACAAATATGTCAGTATTTAAAACAAATGTCTGAGCATTTAAAACAAATATTTGAGTATTTAAAACAAATATCTGAGTATTTTTAGCTGTGTTATAATAAATTAAGTAATGGTCCTAATATTGACCCGTAATTCTATGGCAGCCATGTTGGTTTTGATCCACCGTTACAGTTGTAGACACTCTGTACGATGTTAATTACATTGTTGACATGGTAACCGTGTGCACGATGTTAATTACATTGTTGACATGGTAACCGTGTCAGTGACAGTGATTGAAGTCATCTTTGATACGCTTTGTGCTTTGTTCCTCTCTCATTAGGCCATCATCTTGGTTTGGGCGATCATCGAAAACCAGCCCAATATTGGAACTAAAAGATATCAAGCCGTAAGCTGTCTGGTTCTGTCTTTTACTGTACACCTTCACTTTGTCTCCACACACATACAAAAATTACTAGTGTTTTGATCATTCCTTTCCCTTAGAACATTTTTTATATGCAGCTGCTTTTGTAATTTTTGCTGAACAGTTATTACAGATTGACAATGTAGTATTTGAAGACTTCAGGATTTATATGTAAATTTTGTGATTGATTTTGAAATCTTGTTAACCACAGTTTTAGTGCCAAAAAAGAGCTTCCAATATGATCAGGGTATTTAAGGTGGTATGCCACCTTACTATAACATTTGTATTGCCTTTACAAAGGAATTCCGCATCAAAAAACTTGTACAATAGTCATAACGACTTAGTCAATGTATTTATGATTATTTAAAGGAAAATAGCTCTTTAATTAACGCAAATCACAGGTAAAACATATGTATGAGGTGGCACATGTCCTAAGATATTCTCTTATGAATCAATGAAATAAACAAACTAATGGATTAATGAATTATAATATCTCCAAGACAACTGTAGATAATAATATTAAAAATATACGATTTTAACCAAAAGTGACAGACTAAATCCAGCTGTGAAAAGAAAGCTAGATATCTAAATCCCAGAAAAATTGGGATCTGTACTTCAGCCCACGGAAGATTTATCCTTTCACTGTGAACACGGTCCACTTACATTTGTGTAACTTTTATCACATGCAAACACACTAATTTTCATGGACTCAACTGAAGACATATTTCACTCAGCCTATACATGAGTAAGGAATTGTTCACATGATAATTGAATTTGTAATCGATGCTTAATGAAAAATTAATGTTTTTATCCATCAATAAACCCATGCCCAGTAATAAGCCCATGCCCAGTTATAAACGCAGTCCCAGTAATAAACCCATGCCCATTATTATACCCATGTCAGTAATAAGCCCATGCCCAGTAATAAGCCCATGTCAGTAATAAACCCATGCCCAGTAATAAGCCAATGCCCAGTAATAAACGCAGTCCCAGTAATAAGCCCATGCCCTGTAATAAGCCCATGCCCAGTAATAAACCAATGCCCAGTAATAAACCCATGCCCAGTAATAAGCCCATGCCCAGTAATAAACCCATGCCCAGTAACAATTGCAATAAAGTAGAGATGCCAGCAAAGACTTTATGACGTTGAGTCAGTGATAATGTGTTGAGCCCCTTTGCTTATTGTAGGATAAATACTAGGGCTGCAACGATATGTAGTGCGGCGATATATCACGATATTTTGAATACGGTACGATACACAATATTTTTTGGGAAGTCACGATACACCTACGATATTTCGGATTCTGTCTTTTCTGAATTTAGTCTACTCATATCCTTTCCAACATGGCTAGTGAAGCTCCAGCTCGGCATGCACTTCAAAAGACGTGAATTGTATGAAACTTTTTAAGTCATGCCCATTTTGGACCAAGTCTATTTCCAGTTGATATATTGCCATTAAGAGTTTTTTTAACCAATCTTTTCGCTTTGCATCTATTGTTACTATATGTATCATGATACGTATCGTATCGTGACCACACTATCGTGATACGTATCGTATCGTGACCACAGTATCATGATACGTATCGTATTGTGACCACACTATCGTGATACGTATCGTATCGTGACCACACTATCGTGATACGTATCGTATCGTGACCACACTATCGTGATACGTATCGTATTGTGACCACACTATCGTGATACGTATCGTATTGTGACCACACTATCGTGATACGTATCGTATTGTGACCACACTATCGTGATACGTATTGTATCGTGACCACACTATCGTGATACATATTGTTATGTTCATGTATTGTTGTAGCTCTTATAAATACAGGGTAATTGAAAATAAAAATCACATAAATTGGAAGTACTCTACAGTATAAAAAATACCTAAAACAAGTTATCATTCCGTAAGATTTTCATGGGATAAGCTCCAGCAAGTTTCATCAATATCTTTGAAATGGGAAGATTTTGAGTTAACCTGCATCAAAATAAGATCTAATATCTATGGGCAGATTTTGTCAAAAAGTTCACCAGAAAAAGCAACCGTAGGAAGAACACCACCATTTTCATCATGAATTTATCAGATCCACAAAATGCTTCCCAGGGACTTTACAATGGGTGAAAATTACATTATACTTACGAAAAATATGAAGTTATTACAGATTTATTACTTGGTAAACTTGTTAACTTGGAGGCATGGTAGTCTAGTGGTAGGACGCCGGGCTCATGACCAAACGATTGCAGGTTCGAGTCACGGCACGGCACTTTGTTGTATCCTTGAACAAATTACTTTACTCCGCTTGTTCCAGTATGTGGTTGGGCAGTGCTATAATTGTTGAATGCTAGCTGTGAGTGTCGAAATGGCAGCTCCGGCTGTATGCTCCCCAGGGAGTTGAGAAAGATATTGGCTGGTTGCAAAGGCCCTAAAACCACAGATATTAATTTGTTAACCTTTTCGAGACGACCTACGAACTAGGTTGTGATAATTATTATTATTATTGGTTAAATATCACACTTACTTGTGCAAACTATGTAAAATAGTTCCCTGGATCAGACATAACAGACAGCCATCGACCAATCACTCTATTGTTATACCCTAAGCTTTCCAAGCCACTCACATTGCACTTTTAAAGTAAGACCAGTCACATCACACAAAGTATATTCAATCACATTTTATTGTGAAAAAATTTGCAACACTTTTCCAGCCAATTCTCTATAAAAAAAGGTTTTTCTAACTGATGTTGATCATTTTAAATCCCATAACTTGTAAATTTTAATAAAAGTTTTCATATTATAAAACAATATTTGTGATTTAAATTCTATTTTAATACATCACTCGATCGTAGCTGGTAAAATTGTATATTTGATCTTGATATAACATGTTTGTGGGAGAGACAGGACCATTGGGCCTTAATGCTGGTGCTGAGAATTAGAAAAGTTAGAGTTGAACCATTTTATCAACAGCAATGGTAAAGTGGCAAGTTTTGATTGCCCGACGATAGTGTAAACAACCTTTTAAATTTTGTAATGTTAGTTTATTCCTTAGTTTTTTCTTCCATTGAAACAGGCATGCTTTAATCATAAGCATGATTTAAGATTTTAAAATTTGATTTTAAATTTTCATGTCTGTTTGACAGGGAGGTGAATTGAACAGTCACTTGTTGACTGTGATGGTAAGTATATATATGTCTTGTTTACATTCGTACTGATTGTCTCCCTTTACCCACAGAGATCAAAGGAATGTGAGGAGGATGCACACAGCCGTACGTCTCAACGAGGTGATCATTGAAAAATCTCACGAGTCACAACTTGTCATCTTAAATCTGCCGGCCCCACCGAAGACCGAAGCTGGCGAACTTAACTGTATCCTTGATAGGACTGCCTCAACTAAGGCTGTAGTCGACAAAAGTCAATTTTGTATTATATGATGTGTAGTGTAAGATACATTTTCATAGCTGTCAAACGTCCCTCGTTAGGACAGAGACTGCCATATTTTGACCAAAATTTACCAATCTCCCTCAAAACTCCCTCATTTAAGTCCAAACTCACACAAAATCTACATCCTGTGGTCAAATGATCTCCTAGGTTCTGCAGGATGTGTGTAATGATCTTAACAGGTGTGTCTAAATCAAATGATCCCCTAGTTACTACAGAGTGTGGGTAATGATCATAACAGGTGTGTCTGAATCAAATGATCACCAAGTTACTGCAGGGTGTGTGTAATGATCATAACAGGTGTGTCTGAATCAAATGATCTCCTAGTTACTGCAGGGTATGTGTAATGATCATAACGGGTGTGTCTGAATCAAATGATCTCAAAGTTTCTGCAGGATGTGTGTAATGATCATAACAAGTGTGTCTGAATAAAATGATCTCCAAGTTACTGCAGGGTGTGTGTATTGATCATAACAGGTGTGTCTGAATCAAATGATCTCCAAGTTACTGCAGGGTATGTGTAATGATCATAACGGGTGTGTCTGAATCAAATGATCTCCAAGTTACTGCAGGATGTGTGTAATGATCATAACAAGTGTGTCTGAATCAAATGATCTCCAAGTTACTGCAGGGTGTGTGTATTGATCATAACAGGGGTGTCTGAATCAAATGATCTCCAAGTTACTGCAGGATGTGTGTAATTATCATAACAGGTGTGTCTGAATCAAATGATCTCCAAGTTCCTCCCGGGTATGTGTAATGATCATAACGGGTGTGTCTGAATCAAATGATCGCCAAGTTACTGCAGGATGTGTGTAATGATCATAACAAGTGTGTCTGAATCAAATGATCTCCAAGTTACTGCAGGGTGTATGTAATGATCATAACAGGTGTGTCTGAATCAAATGAATGCTTTTGGGAGTTATTTTGATACATAAAAAGGGAAAGATAAATCGAGCAAAGCCGTTTCAGTCATGTTTCACACATTATCTTCCTCATTGGAAATGTGAAATGATGGAGATCTTCTTATTGAAGGTTTCAGAGGTTGACACCCATGTATTTTTATGTGGGATGAATTAAAGGGACAATATTCACTTAAATCTCAATGGTAAGCCTGATTATAGGAAATGTGCCAGTCAGGGATTAAGTTGCAGTCAAAAATATCTGGGTAATAAGCCTGCTTTTGAAAAAGGTTAGGCTGTGAAAATTGCCATGTAGGAATGGTGTTTACCCTCTTCGCCAGGTTTTACTGGTACCCATCATAGTACATGGTTCAATAATTATCGCATCAGTTTGATTATAGGAAACAAAATGTTTTTGTTTCATTAAAATAACTATAGCAAAATTACTTTTCCATGCAAGAATGGAAGGGCTTGAAAACAGGCCATTGGTGTTAACTGTCTTGTGACTATGAAAATAGAACTGCCTTAAAAAAATAGGTCTGGATTTTTTTACCAAAACATGAAATTAAACCATATGCAACTTTTTCTTGAGATTTTAGGGTATATTGATAACATTGGAAAATGTGCTTTCTTTTTTCGTCTGCCAAACATATTGAGGTTGAAATTTTCCCCACAAATATTTATTTTGTAAATGTGCTATATTTAATATCAACCATTTACATGCTTGTTGCTTTGGAGAAAATATTAATTAAGGAATCTTTGGGTCTAGCATTAAAGAGATTTACCAAACAGTTTAGCTTTGAACTATATCGCATAACTCCTGATTTTCCTTTGCTTGGCATGTTTTTACAGGATCTGGAATTACTGCTATAAAATTAATTGTAAGGATACATTTATTCTTGTGGCTGACAGTAGGCTGTAGTGTACTCTTTTGGCAATGTTTGAAAAAAAAGACAGTTGTTTCCATTTTTCTCTGTTCTATTCCTTGACCATTATTCTAGATATGGAGTTTTTAGAAGTGCTGACCGAGGGTCTAGACCGAGTGTTAATGGTTCGAGGAAGTGGACACGAAGTCATCACCATTTACTCATAGGTCATGTGACTGACAATCACGGAACAGAACGAGGGATCACCGTGCAGCGGTACATAGGCACGTCACCATTGATGTACCGGCTCACATTACCAGTAGAAACTTGTATACAAATTTCACTGCAAACAATCACATCGCAACGATATGAAAATATATATTATTAACAATATAATTGTTCCAAAAGTACACTGTACAACGGTTCATTCATTGTATTTTCTCATCAACATATCAATCATCACAATGTCTATATTAGTAGGCTATGCATTTTCTGTATTTGTTATCAGATGATTTCATGATTTATTTTTTCCATAAGAAATTGCATTTCATTTTTATAATATTTTTTTTGTAACGAAAACATGGCTGATGGTTAACGTGGAGCTTTTTTATCATTATATGAATTTCATCTTGTTGGCTTGTATCAGAATATATATATAGTTACAGGAAACTAGCTCAATTTCTTTTGTGTCGAAAGTTTAGATTATTGGACCAAAGATTGTCAGAATTTTAGAGAAAAATTATATATAGATGGTCCCATAAGCTAAAATTTCAAAATAAAACAAAATGATTGGATATCTAGCTATGGTTCCTGCAGCTGTTATCTGAAGGGCTCACAACTTTATTGTGTATAAAAAAAACATAAATATATATATATATATATATGATTATCAATTTGTGATAAAGTGTAAAAATATTTGTGTGTGCAGGAAGATACATTTGTAAACAAAAATATCAACAGAAATATGTGTGAACATGATGATGAAAGAGGAAGGGAGACAACCCGTTGATAGTGATAGAGAAATGGAGATGACCATGTTTTAGAGTGAGTGTATTTATTTAGCTTGTGCAGAGTTATAGTCCTTGGTATGAGTGAGATACACATGTCCATTAGTAAAGCCCTAAATGTGTGCTTAGAACATTTCATTTTTATTTGACCTTGAAGATGACCTATATGACACCCTTAGAGTCACCAGACCACAGAATACCCGGAAGTTTATATTTTACTCTGTTGATTCCAGATCCCCACCACTTTAATTCATTCACCCCTGAATACACATTTGAAATCTTCCAATTCAAAGGTTGGAAAATTTCATATGAAATTATAGGGGAGAAAGAGTTATGCCAAATAAAAATATATACCTATGTCAATATCCCATCCAATGAGTTACCATGAACAATTTGGCATCTTAGTCTACACAACTACTTTCACAAGCTGGATATCATTGGATTTATGTTTGAATGTAATAACGGAAATTTCCCCAAAAAATACTGGCAAAATAGTAGGATAACTTGATTAAGAGGGTGTAAAGATAAATTTTCAAATATTATTTTAAAATGTAAAATGATGTCATTAATTTAACCTGTAACATAATGTTTTGTTCAATGATGTATTAACAATGGGATGTTTAGAGTTCATAACAGTGCAGTTACATTTTGTTTTAGAGTTACAGTAAAATAATTGACCCCTGACCTTTTACCTAAAACTACTAGTGCCTGTGAATGGTGTATTTTCATTCCTTTCACTTTCATCAAATTTCACTTGATGAAATAATAAGGTTTTAACAGAAAAAGGTCTAAATTTCAGGGCATTCAGTATTTCAAAAGAAAAGTAGGAAAATATGTCAAACATGATCACTGGTTGTTGACGATAACTGGTTGGTTCCAGTTCAATGTTTGTTTGTGAAGGGTGTTTTTGTTAAGTTTATTTTTGAATCATTAAGTTTCATGTTTACTGTTAAGTCTTACTGAAGTTTCATCAACAAGCAACAAGAAAAGATACTTTTAATATAGATAAGATAAAATTCTGCATATTTAACCCTTTCCCTCCTCTGTAACTTAAGTAAACTCTACCATACCTTGATCTGGATGAGTCCATTATGGTCTGCAGTGGTGAAAGGGTTAAAAGAGAAACACTTCTACCATACCTAGGATAGAGATGTCCTACATATGAGCAGAGCAGAATCTAGCAGAAGTAATTCTTCACAAGAAACAGGAACTGTAGAGAAATATTTCGATTAAATTCATTGGTTCCTTGAAATGACTTCGCTTACAGTAAACACAAATCATTTTCGCAGTAAGGAGAAACAAAAAGTAATGGGAAAATAGGAAATTTAAAAATAACACTGTACAAAGAAATGCAAGTATTTAATTATGCTCACATGTATTATTTTTCATAGAAGCAATATTTTTTGGTCACATTTTAATGTTTTGACGCTATTTAGAAATAGCTGTTTTTTTATCACCAATGTATTTTAGGACTTTACATTCTGTGCCAAAGACGTAACAGTGAAACGCTGTGAGCCATGACTAAACGTATTGAAAATGTATTTGCCATTTGACGGGACATTTTGATTATTCTGATACACTGTATCAATCTCTACCCATTTAACATTTATACAAATAAACTGAAAACTGAAACATAATTTTGAACCAAAACCTATACTGTTTGAATACAAATTTTAAAAAAAACATCTTTAATAAGATTCATCAGTTTGGAAATAAGTAATATCAAACTTTTACCTCATACACAAACAATGTACATATTAAACATGTCGTAAGGTTTCAACACCGACTGGTCCCTTTGTCGAGCTATGACTGAGTAAGCGACCTGGGACATTTTGCCTATCAATAGAGAGCGTATACACACTGTATCGAATAGATTACTGGTAGGGAACCATTGGTATACGTTCTCAAATGATAGTCAAAACATCCCGGGTCGAGTGATGCAAGAAATATACAATTCGTCACATCGTTTTACAGGTAAACAATACAAATCGCTCACTCGGTCATAGCTTGACAAAGGGACCAGTCGGTCTTGAAATCTTGCGACACATTACTGTTAGTAAATAGGTACATTGTTTGTGTATAAAGTAAAACTTTGATATAACGGTAAAATGTTGTGTTACATGACTGAAGTTTGTATCGGTATGGTCATTCCGTGTGACAATTTCCTTATTATTGATAATTAAATACTGTGTTATCCGGCTGTAAAACTATGACCAGTAATCAGCCCACCCTTATCAACTGGAATTTGGTAGAAATACCAGCAAATGATATCTTCAGTGCCCTGTAATGTGCCCATACCGTATTATTGAGTATTTTGTGTGGCCCCCTGGGCTTGTTACAGGATAAGTGCAGTAATGGATCATTATCGGCCTCGTAAATTTATATAAGATACAGTCAAAAATACATTGCATTATTCATGCCAAATTTTGTACAGTGCTAAAACAAAATATCAATATAGAAAAAAACAAATTTATTCGATCAGCACAGATTACCCAGTAAGTTGAAGTTTAATAGATATCGCCTCTGTTTGGGGGAATCATGTATTTCCTTTTGTTGTTGTTCTTTTCATATGGATTTTTTTTTTGTCCTCGTTTGTTGACACTGGTACATTTTGTCCTATTTTGTTGACACTGGTACATTTTGTCCTAGTTTGTTGTAGTTTACTGGTATTTCGTCCTTGTGTGTCAACGCTATGGTATATTTTCACAGTACGTCGACACTTCGGTATATTTGTTCATATTGATGCTGTGGTATATTTTGTGCTTGTGTTGACACTGTAGTACATTTTTATCTGTTTGTGTTGACACTGTAGTACATTTTGTCCTTATATGTTGACACTGTAGTACATTTTGTCCTTATGTTGACACTGTAGCACATTTTGTCCTTATATGTTGACACTAGTATATTTTGTCCTTATATGTTGACACTGTAGTACATTTTGTCCTTATATGTTGACACTGTAGTTCATTTTGTCCTTATATGTTGACACTGTAGTTCATTTCGTCCTTATATGTTGACACTGTATTACATTTTGTCCTTTTGTGTTGACGCTGTAGTACATTTTGTCCTAGTGTGTTGACGATGTAATACATTTTGTCCTTATATGTTGACGCTTTAGTACATTTTGTCCTTATATGTTGACGCTTTAGTACATTTTGTCCTTATATGTTGATGCTGTAGTTCATTTTGACCTAGTGTGTTGATGCTATAGTATATTTTATATATTCTATATTTAAATGTACACAAAATGGCAAGGATGCTATGATCACAGTAGGTATGGAGGACCTGGGTTCAAACCCTAGACGAAATTGATGTGTATTCCCTTCTTTATCAATTGTGTAACCAAGAACTAATGTAACAGACATGAATAATCGTTATTCCTTAGCTCATTCCAAAAACTTATTTCAATGGAAATTAATCGTTTTTAGCTCACCTGGCACGAAGTGCCAAGTGAGCTTATGCCTTGGCGCGTCGTCCGTCGTCCGGGGTCAATATTTTATTTTAAACGACTTCTTCTTAATAACCGAAAGGCCTAGGGTGTCAACATTTGGTCAGAAGCAAACTGGGATGAAGGGCTACAAAGTTTGTTAAAATTAATGACCTTCACCCATTTTCAAGGTCACAGGGGTCAAATATGTTAAAAACTTTAAACATCTTCTTCTGAATAACCAAAATGCCCAGGGTGATGATATTTGGCCAGTAGCATGCTGAGATAAAGGGCTACAAAGTTTGTTCAAATGCATGACCTTCACCCATATTCAAGGTCACAGGGGTCAAATATGTTAAAAACATTAAACAACTTCTTCTGAATAACCAAAATGCCCAGGGTGATGATATTTAGTCAGTAGCATACTAGGATCAAGGGCTACCAAGTTTGTTTAAATGTATGACCTTGAATCATATTCAAGGTCACAAGGAGCAAATATGTTCAAAATATTTAAACAACTTGTTCTGAATAACCAAAAGGCTCAGGATGTTGATATTTAGTCAGTAGCATGCTGGGATCAAGGACTACTATGTTTGTTAAAGTGAATGACTTTGACTTATATTCAAGGTCACAGGGGTCAATTTTTTTTAAAAACTTTAAACGACCTCTTCTGAATAACCATGGGTCCCAGGATGTTGATACTTTGCAAGTTGCATCCTGAGATGAAAGGCTATAAAATTTGTTCAACATAATGACTTTGTTCGACTTTCAATCACAGGGGTGAAATGTTTTTAAAAAAATTAACAGGGTCTTCTGAATGAATTTTAATAATATATACTGATATTTTGCCTGTAGCTTTATTTTAGATCACTTTTAAGTAAGTTACAAGTGTGAGATTTATACCAGGTGAGCGATGCAGGCCCATTGGGCCTCTTGTTTGCTTCCATTATCTGCACCAAAGTCCAATTAATGTCTTAAATCTCCTCAGATCTTTCATTCCCAATATTTCTGCACTTTCAACTTTTAAATTGTAGACGTCGTAGTCATTTGATGACAACTTATTATAGATATTATTTTTTAAAGTCGCCCTCAGGAAAAACAGAAAACAAGCTAGTTTTCTGATTTTTTTATCAGAATGGATTTAAACTGAAACACCGCAAATAAACTCTATTTTAATGCCTTTCTTTCCATTTTTCACCATTATTTAGAAATGCTTCAATTTTTTTTTAAACACTTGATATACCTCCCTCATATTGACAAACCCCTACATAATGCCAAATTTCTGTTGGTCAAATGGGGGCTTATAGGGAAGTTTTATTGTAGATTGTAGGTTGTGTTTTATTCAGCTACAAGGAATTTGTCATTTTACACTGGAGAATTTTGTGTGTGTATGGATACTAGCATCAATATAGGTTATTTACCAACCAAACAGTTCCTATGACTGCTCTTTTTTAATAGAATATTTTGAAAAAATATTTTCAAATAATATGTTTTTATGATAAAACAAATAGTATTTTTCCCTCTGAAAGTGAAAAAATATGACAGAACTTTGTGAGTAGATTTTGTACAAGTTTGTGAATTTCTCTTTGTTGTTTGTACTATTTTAAAGGTTTGTGCTTTTTTAAAGATATGTGAGAAAAATTGTATCATAACCTATTGTTGTTCATAGAGAGAATATTTACCATAGTATTCTCCTGAGTGAGAAAGGAAGTATTCTTTTTTTGAGGAGGAAAAACAGGGATAAGGATATACACAGAGAACCTTCTGCCACCGTTTTAATTTTCGCCTTTTTGCCCTCCGTGATGTGGGTGAATATATCACTACAGCAAATATAAGGAGACATAATTTACGTAGTTATTAAATGCGAAAGGCAAAATCAACACTGGGGGGGATTTTGTTTTATTGATGAAAGGCAAAAGTTTGACAGGATGAAAGTTTTTTGGTATAATTTGAATCATACATATTTATGCTAGAAATATAAAGCAATCCGTGACAGAACTTGACATGCTATTATAACAGGGAAGATAACTCACAGATGATCGTAATACAACCGCTGAACTTGACATGCTATTATAACAGGGAAGATAACTCACAGATGATCGTAATACAACCGCTGAATCTCAGTTCCTTGTTTGGGTTATTTTGAGGGCCGAATTGTGTCAACAAAAGAATGATTTAATTCTGAAATCTGCCACTAGATAGAATATTGAAATGATACCCCCTTCATCATATTTACAGATAATTAGAATAACTCGTTACTATGCAATTCATCCGATGACAAGATACAATCAGTATCCAAAGGGAAAACTAGTGTTTTAGTAAAACATGATATTACCAGAAATTTGACATACAGCAGTGTTACATTAAACAATATAATAAACAGCCGTTTCAACTTTATCATCACTTACATACAATAACACATTTTGTTTTACCTTGTAGGAATAATTTCCTTTAAAGTTGCCAAACTCCATCTTTTCTTAACACCAAACAAAATTTGTGTTGGTTTGGGTGCTACGGAGAACTCCCCGCCATATAAAATCTTTCACGTCACTGTTTTTAACTGGCAGATATTGAGCTTTTCTAACTCACAAATTCAATCAGATAGAAAAGCCTACATTTAGTCTTTCACCCCTGAAGAAACATTTGAACTCTTCCAATTCAAAGGTTGGAATGGTCTATTCTGAAACTTCAGGGGTGAACGAGTTATTAATAATGTATTTTGGCAGTTACTTAGAGAAAAGTTCCTCTGCCTTTTCCTGACAATGTTTATATACAAAGAAACTATTTTTACTAATCTTATCAAAAATGTTCGTTCAGGGAACGAAATAAAACTAATACCAGCCGTCACTTAACTCATTCACCCCTGCATATTCAAACTGGCCTTGCCCAGTCTGTGATTTGGTAAGGTTTAAATGTGACTTCAGGGGTGAATGGGTTAATTTCCAGGCTTTTTGGCTTAGACCTTCCTCAGGGAGTGTATGGCCCTTACTGCTATGTCACTTTTATATTTCCATGTCAAATTGACTGATGAAGGTCTTAACCAGAAAGCTGTGAAATTGATCTAGAGTGATAACTGTACAAATGGAAATTCTCAAGTGTGGAAATATTCACGTTTTCAACTTCAAAACTTTAAACTGATTGTGGTGTTGAAACTTTTCGCGTTGGCAATCATTCAAAAGTCTATATATTATTTATATCTATATTCTATATGACATATAAATATAAATTTGTTTGTGGATAATGTTGTGCTCATTTACTCCATGCGAAAATTGTGAGCATTTCCCCACCATGAAATTTTCCGTTTTTCGGTATTGGTAAAATTATTTTAACTGTTTAACAGTATTGGTAAAACTATTTTGACTGTTTAACAGTATAAATTTATTTTTACTTTAAGAAAAAATACTGATTACAGGAGGACTTAATCATATTTTATATTTGTATGTGTATACTTAGGTGTTTTTTGTTGCTTTGCAATGAAACTGTGTGACAACACATGTATTTATGATGTTATTGAATGGTGCCGGTTTCACTATATTCGCCAAATTTATTCAAATAATGTTTTATCATTTGAATATTAATTTATAAACTTAACGTACAACTGTGTATTCTTTTGTTGGGACATGATAAGAAATTTATGTAGTCATGGATTTACGGGAACATTGTCTTGTTCCATATATTGCTCGTCTCTGTCAGCCAATTTCTTCTGTTGAAATATAGAAATATATCATTATAAGAACTATTTTGCCAAAGAATGTCGTACTTAATAATTTCTCCACCAGGACTTTTCACACAAATGTCTATTGCCAATCTCGGTAAAAAAAGTTAACATTATTTTTTCTCAGATTTTCATCATTTTATCACTTTTAATTAGTAGAAAAGATACAATCCGAGTCAACTTTTTTAAGATTTAAAAAGAAGTGTTTTATCTGTCTTAATGGCATGAAGTAAAAAAAAAAACATTGAAAAATATTGCCTGTTTTACAGAATTTAGATCACAGAGAGAAGTATATGTAGAAATTAACAAGTTATTTTGATGCTAGTTAAAATGGTCTCTTTAGGGCACATTTTGCCTACAGTATTTCCGTATGTTGATGTATGCGTGCAGCGAGAATTTTGTGATGAAACAGAATGTTGGAATGTAGACTTTTTTAGATAAATTATTTGTTTGTGATTTGTAATTTAATATATGATAATGTTAAATGAATGTTTAGTTAATGCTAATTTTCCTAGTCAGATATTTCAAATATTGCTGACGCTGTTAGTAAATGTTCTAGTCTCTTAAAAGAGTGCGACATTTTTTTTCTGCACAAATTCTGTCACGATATTGAATTTTTGTCAACCTCATCTTTAAATAAAAACAATCAAATATTATAATGCAATTATTCATGTAGAATTATTTTGTACCTGTGCAAACAATCATATTGATTTGCCTTTTCTAAGTCTAAACATTTTTAGCTCACCTGTCCCAAAGGGCCATGTGAGCTTATGCCGTACTGCGGCGTCCATCGTCCGTCTGTCAACTTTTTCTTTTAAACGACTTCTTCTGAAGAACTGGAGGACCTAGGGTCTTGATATTTGGCCAGTAGGTACCTGGGATGGAGTGCTTTGAAGTTTCCTCATAAAAATTACCTTGACCTAGTTTCAAGGTCACAGGGGTCAAATATGTTAAAAACCACAAACAACAATATCCTAAGAAGCATTTGGTCTAGAGTCATGATACTTGAGTATGTTATCTAGACCAGCAGTGCGAATCTTTTTCTAAAATACAGTAATGAGGTCAAAGGTCAACTTTAAGTGCTAGCCGGAGTCAAATGTCAACGTGGGTTAAAAGCTTTAAAATTACAATTTCAAATTTCAAACAAAAATATCTTAAGCGTTAAAAGATGTTAAAATGTCTTGTGTTCTAGTTACCAAATTTGGTCTGAAGATCCCTTTATGTCAGTTTCATGTAAAAAAAATAAGAAACAGGTGAGCGATACAGGTCCTCTGGGCCTCTTGTTATTGTATCACAATAAATTTCAGTTTGGATCATCTATGACCTCTGATGGTAGTTCAGCT